TAGCAACCATCGCAAGTAATCAAGTCAGGTAACAAAATAAACAGCTTTAAGCTGCAGTTATTTCAAAGCACAAGCAAAATATAATTTTGTCTGGGTGAATAATGTGGGTTCACATGAGTGCTATACATTTTGAACACACATATCTCAAGAGAGAGAGAAAATAGAGAGATTTTTTTTTCTTAATATGCCAAAAATATGGACACAAAAATAAACTATTAATCCATTTTCTTTTCATATAAATAAATTTATAAATAAAAAATAATTTGAAACCACTTTTATTTCATTGAAACCATAAAATGACAGCCATTACTTTTCTTTTTTTTACTTAAAAATTGAAAAATAAGAGCTTCATCTTTGAAACCATTGTTAAAATCCCGCGCCATGTTTATAAGACTTTGAATAATTTTTTGTCACATCTTATTGCGAAGTGTGAACCGTGAAAGGCGGTCAATGTTTATAGGGAGTTTAAGAAAAAAGTTATAATTAATAGCTTTTTTTCTTCCACATATATCCAAAATATCATGGTGTAATTATGATGATTGTTTACTTCTTTCAGCTCTTTTCCTCTGACCTATGTTGTTATTTAGGTCGCTCACGTTCTCGAAGATGATGGAGAAAGTAAGTATAATTAATTTAGGAAGATTCACATGAATACCCCTCAATTCTTATGTATTTACATATATATGAAAGTGTATTTTACTTTTAATTACCTGTACAAATTAAATTAGAATTGCTAAATATATAAATTTTTACCCTTAAATTAAATGTCAATATCAGATTCGCCGTGTTTGAAACGAGGTGAAAAGGCCCCTTCGACAACCATAAATTATTTGATAATTCTTCAATCAAAACATTTCAATCATTTCATTATAAACCTTAAATATTTATGAAATTAAATTTAACATTTATCTCAATTTCACTGACCTGGACTGAATGAGAAATCATTGGGGCATAACAAAATAAGGGAAATTTACATACACATCACGCGATTCTTATATATTTACATATCTAACGCCCAGAAATTAATATTTACATTTATAATATCTTGATATCATAAGTATATGTTTGAGAACATGTATTTAATCTTTAAAAAGATAACAATAGTGATATTTTTCTATATTTTATTAAATACTTAAATAGTATATATATATATTATATATATGTAAATAATAATGTTTAGATGTTAGAAGAAATGGTAAGACCATAAAAATTATGTGGTATGGATGTAAACGCTCCAAAAAAATAATACGCGCAAGCAGTGCACTCACACTACGCCCTGTCTAATACGGTTGGGAAATAAAACAAATTTCCAAATATACTAATTGAATGGACAATATTTGGAATGCTTGATTTCCCCCACCACGGTCCCATATTCAAACTTGTGATTTAATGGCATGTCAGCTTCACCCAATAAAATAAAAATATCAGGCAAATTTACATGCTTAACCCTCAATTCTTATGTATTTACATATCTAAGCTTCCTTTTTTTCATATAAGCCACTTTTTTGTGTATTTCTGTTTTTTAAGCTAAAATACTTGTATTCTTCACGTAATATGAAAGATTTGGGGTGTATAAATGTGAAAAATCAAAGTTTAAGTGTTAGATATGTAAATATATAAAAAATTGGTGGTATGTATGTAAATGGCCCATAATATAAATATAAAGCATAAATAAAAGTTATATATACATATATATACATATAACTTGTACTTATGCTTTATATTTATATTATGGGTATATATATATATATATATATATATTAAAAAAATTAAATGTTATATATATGTCAAATTACTTTTCAATTAACAGGCTCAATTTGAAATTGGTCCGAGGCTACGGTTGGAAGTTCATAATTTCTACGTTTTCGACCAGGTTGACTAAGCACAATAATCAAGAATCCGGACGGAATCAAATCTCTATGAATTATTTAATTGGCAAAAATATGAGAATTATTAATGCGGGACGTGGATAAGGTGTTGACATTTTCAAAAGTCTTCGATCGTTGACCTTTGACTGATTGGCCAATTCATAACTGGCACTCCAATATCTCTCCTCGCCAGTTCCCCCTTCGACCGTGTAATTTAAGCAGAAAATATAAAATTATAAAACCAAATTATATTTTCTATTTATGATATATTTAATCTTACTTTTTCCCACTAATTATTTCTCTTTGATTTCAAATATTCGGACTGAAATGATATGATTCAGAAATTCAGAAGAAAAGTTTTGGCTTTGTCAAAATATTTAAAAAAATTAACATCGAGGGTATAATAATTATAATTTAATAAAAAAAGTATTTCGAAAAGATTTAAATATATTTTAAATTACAGTCACTTTTTAAATAACTAATAATTTTGAAGCCTATCATAAAGAAACGCTCGTAGAAGTATTAAAATTAGACTTCTTAAGAGGCCTGCAGGACAATACAATTAAATTTGCAAACCCTAACTATGAGAAAATTTGCATGCAAGAAAAATTTTCAGCTTTTAATTGTCTTTATTTAGTAAACCCTAAATCATATATATATATATATATATATATATATTAAGTACATTATTTGATCTTGATAATTAGAAAATAATATGCATACACAATATATGAGGTAGTAGATATGAGTATTAAACCGTATATACAGTCAAACTTAAAAAAAAGAAAATGTTTTAAGAAATATATACAATTTTAAGCAATTCATAAAATAATAAGATGGTAAGAAACTATGCTTCAAATATTTCAAGTATTGTGAATATTAAAACAGTATAAGTTGGTGGGGCGTAAATATCTCAACTACAAAATATTCAAGAAATTCAACCTTCTATCAAATAAAACTATATAAATAATTATAAACATTTTATATTCTAAGAGTCATTTGCTAAATCTATGGACCCAAATAATCTAGCCTAAAATAATTTCAATTCCTATTTTTTGTTTCAAAATTAGTTTTTTTGATGATTACCTTGACAAATAGAGCATTAAATTATTATGATATATCAAATGATGTTGTAAAATTAATAATTCTCTCCACAGTGTCCAATGCAAGGCTTAACATATAGAATGTGTGAGTTAAAATAATAATAATAATAATATTATTATTATTATTATTAAAACTAAGGTAGTCCTTTTGATTTTTCTATATAAGAAAAAAGAGATAAATAATAGCTACAATTTACTTCAATTTAATAATTGTTTTCCTATCAATTTAAATTAAAGTGAAGCCCAAATCAAAAGTTATAACAATTGAAAATTTGACGAGACTCCGCTAGATTCAACTTAACATCACCACTAATTATAATAAAAGAGAAGGAGTGGATCAATTACTTGTTAATTATTATATTTCAGTCGCCCAAATATTGCGCTGTTGGCCGATTCAAGTCGCTAGAAAAATTTCAGCGAAGGGCTGAGCCGCAACTGTCTGGTTATTTATGGTTGCTTAAGAAACTGATTATAATTAATTAACAATGTACTTCCAGTTTGATTACGTGAGATATCAGGCTTGAAAAATAAAGTTTTAGTGTATTTAAAAATAAATCTTACCGCCAGCTTCGTTCGGAACCAATAGCCGTTTACCGTCCATAGGACATGACATAATTAATATTTTATCAATGTGCTGAGATTAGTAATTAGTAAACTAATTATCTACTAATTAAAGCCACTAAGTTTAATTACTATGGCTACTATGGCACGGCCTCAGAGCTGGAATGTACGGCTGCCGTGCACGGAACCAGTGGATGGATTGCATTGATTTTTGGTGACAGATTATTATTTTTTAAAATTTACAGACATATCATATACTTCGTATTTATTTAGTTATCATCTAAAATATAATAATTAAATTTATAGTACTTAGCAGATGAAAGAAGAAGGTTATGCACTCTCTTAAAAGATAGTACTTTTTATATTTTTTACGTGGCATTATAATTTGAATGTTATTAATAAAAAAATTAAAATTTTGGTGTTTAGATATGGAAATATAGAAGAATTAAGTGGCATGTATGTAAATGCCCCCTTGAATTATTTTTGTTAAACTATTATAAGAAATCTATCATTCTTTATTTTGCTAGCATTTACACAAAATAGAGGAAAATAACAAAAAATTTCAATCGTAATTATTTATAAATTTAAATCGTAATTATTAAGACCACTGTTGCAATCCACCGAAGGTTTTTTTTTTTTTATTTCCGGCTAAATCACGATTATCGTCCACACCTTTCGCACCCTCCGCCATAAGTATGTAATATTTTGCCCATGACCAACTTGCATTTTCCATAGGTCGAATTCCCACTTATACAAAATGTTATTAGTTTCTTCATTAGACAATGAATTAATAGATGAAATAAATCAGAGACACAAAAATTCTGATAAATAACTAAATATCCAAAATAAATAATTAAAAATACATGAAACATCCAATATTACATATTTTAAAATGATTAATTAATCATTTTTATATTAGTGGATATTGAAATATTTACATATTTAAATTATATCATAATATTACTAAAATTAAAATAATTAAAATAAAATGCATCTGCTATTATATATTTTTAGTAAAATTTGCATACATATCACATAATTCTCATAATCATATTTATAATATTAAAAATTTTTATTTTTATATCAAATTGGTATCATAAACTTACACATAAACTATGTAATTCATTTCTTAAAAATAAGTGACAGTATTATTTTTGGATGCACCAGTATTAAAAAATTCAATATTATGAATGTAGATAAAATAATTAGGCGTTGAATTGAATATTAAAACATTGATATTTATGTAAATATAGTTGGAATATTAAGATCAAATATGAAAGCTGTAAAATTAGATATATATATAAATTATTATTATTATTATTATTTTACAAAAGCTCAATTTTTCGGTTAATAGAATCAATGCACCAATTCCATCGGAACCAGTCTTGCTGACAACACGCCTTGCTTTCGCCCTCTCCATATATATACTCCCTGAGCTTCCTAGCTTCCTCCAACTAAGCTCCAGCATTTCCACTCTCACTTCACCATCTTCTCTCTCTCTCTCTCTAACCTCCATGGAAACCACCCAATTCTTCTCCACACTCGACCTAATCCGCGAGCATCTTCTCGGCGACGCCACCACCTCCTTCGACGATCTCTTTACCAGCCTCCCCTCCTCCCCGCAGGCCACCACCACCTCTTCCGAAGACCTCACCATCTCCGATTACCTCGATCAGACCGATACCAACACCTCACCCACCCCAAAATACGCCGAGGGTTTCAGATTTCGCCAGCCTTCTCACAAAATAATCCGATTCGGCGCCGATCAATCCGAAATCGGCCTCACCATCGAAATCCCCAGCGCCGCCGCTCCGAAGGTGGAGTGGATCAACGAACTTTCTCCGCCGGAGCTGTTCGGTTTCAATCGATATCGCGGCGTGCGGCAGCGGCCGTGGGGGAAGTTCGCGGCGGAGATCCGCGATCCCAAACGCCGGGGATCTAGGGTTTGGCTCGGGACTTTTGATTCTGCGGTGGAGGCTGCGCGGGCATACGATCGCGCCGCGTTTCAGATGCGCGGCAGCAAAGCGATTCTTAATTTTCCCAATGAGGTTGGAAGCTCGGCGGATTGGGTTCGGCCGGCGATGGGGGTGGAGAAGAGGGGGAGGGAGGAAGTGGGGGCAGAGAGGGAAGCGAAAAGGAAGAGAGATGAGGAATCGGAGAGGTATATTCCGTCGGTAGCGCCGTTAACCCCGTCGATGTGGTCGGTGGCGTGGGAAGGATCGGATGTTACGGAGTTCTTCAATTTGCCGCCGCTCTCGCCTTTATCTCCTCACCCGTCGTTGGGGATAACACAGCTTCTGGTTATTTGAGATGATAAAGAGAAAAGAAAGAAGAATGCTTCCAGCAAAAGCTTGAAGATTGCAGGATTTAAAACTTCCTGTAATAAATTTGTAGTTTCAGTCTCAATTTTACTAATAAGAAGGAAGTTGATTGAATTACATGTTAATAATGTGCACAGTTTGGCAAATGATTTTTGTGCTCTATTTTTCTTCTTAAGGTTAGAGGTCATGTTTGTGTTTGTATATAGGGAAAAGTGTCAAAATACTCCTGATTATTTAAAACGTTTTTAGGAGGCGTGCAATTATTGGATTTAAATTGGAAAATAGAAATGAACTGAGGGGCCATTTGGGGTAACTTATAGGTGTGGGTGACATTTTGATTATAGAATACTTGTTGATCAGTTGATCAGTTTTGATTGGAACATCTATAATGCGATGTTCACTTTATTTTTTGTGGGATTTTTTGGTTGCAATGGATGGTCTCTTTGCTCAGTTGCGGAATTTTTTGGTAGTAGAGCATTTTTTACTTTGTTCTTTTGGGGGTTTTTTTTTTTTGGGAGATTTTTTTTTTTGTGGTTTTTTTTTTTTTTTTTTTTTTTTTTTTTTGCGATGGGTTATATTCTTTGTTGATTCCTTTCGAATATTTCACATTTTTTGGATAATTTTAAGGTTAATTGGGTGAATGAGGCTTTGCACGGTTCTCCTTTTCAAAAGGTTGTTTTGGGTTGTTCAAATGCTACGTTTGCTTTAGTTGAAGGACATGTTGGAGGCTCTGTGTGATGTCCTTGTTGGTGGCCTTGGGTGCATGTTGTACATGAGCTTGGGTCTATGGGTTGGAAAAGGCATGTGCGTGGATGTGTGTGTTTGTGTGTGTATGCTTGTGTGTGAAGTGCCTGTTTGTGGCACGTGAGTGTGTGTGTGTGTTGGTGGGTGTGAAGGTTGTGTTGATGGCATGCAGTCATTTATCTAGATAGCTAGTCAACTTATCCAGATTATGGACGGAATTGTCCTTTATCCAGAAACAACGACAAATCAGCTCTTTTTCAAACGCACAAACCAAACAACAAGTCATTTTATCCGGATCAGGTGTTGATCAACAGATTATCATGATAAGCTGCTTATCTGGATAAGCTGCAACTGCCCTAAACAGATCCTGAGTTAATTTGATTGATTCGGTCCAGTTTAAGAAAAAAACAGGGTTATTATTTAAAAAATGTTGAAGTTTGACTTTTGATTTAGGGTTCAGTTCGACTTCTTAAGTAGCTAAATGAACAAAAAACTAAATTTTTTTAGGTAAATCTTCCTTAAAATGATTGGAAGTAAATATTCTAATGACGAGTCTTACATAATCTTCACCTAATAAACTTCATTTTCTTTCGTTATTATCATATTCTTATATCTTCATACTTTATTTTAATTTATGTAAAATCAAACCATTTAAATCGAAATAATTAACATCCATTTGACTAGTTCAATTTTATCAAAATTTCATCTGATATGGTACTTTATATTTCGCTTGAAGTTTGTTTGATCAATTTAAAAATCGGACCATTCGAACCGACTGATTGCTCATCCCTACTCATTTTAGTCTTAGAGTTTATAGAACCAAGTGAATAGTCTCCGTACTCTCTAAATTGAGCTTTTAGACTCCCTACGATTAAAGAAGTGTAATCTAAGAAATGGAGGGCTCCTTTGGCACTTTAATTATTTCTGTTTCATTGAAAAAAATAAAAATAAAAATTAAAAGGTAAACCACTTTGTATAATGTTAAAAAAAAAAATATTTAGTATTCTCTCTCAAAGAAATATAAGCATTACACTTAAAATCTGAATTAGAAAGTCTAATAATGGTGATTAATTTGTAATATCAGGAAAATATGATAAAACCCTGATCAAAACTTTGGTCAGTGTTAGCTTCAAACTAGTTCTTTGAATCTATAACAAATAAGCACAACCTATAAATATTAATATTATATCAATTCGAAAATAAATCTACAACTTTAAAATATTCATCTATAACGAAATTAGTATTAGCTAACTTTTTTTCATTTTGTTGCTACTTATATTTAACCTCCCCCTATGCTTGCTTCATTACCTATTTTTATTTTTTGATATATATATATATATATAATAAAGATTTAATCCAACCGGGCAACTTCAAATTCTAATTACCAAGTCCTTAAAATGTGATTAAGACGTAATTAGTTGCTTATCTATTAAAACCATGGGAGAGTTAATTTGGCTCTCCAGCAACACTGAGGGCATGAATTTGCATGGCCTCAAATATTGAGCTGGCACGTACGTACGCACGAGCCGTGTAGGCAACTCCCATGCAATTTTAAGGAACTAATGAAATTATGGGCACTAGCTGTCTTCTATTAATTCTAAAAATAAAATTAATACACTAAAAATAAAATATATTCGGTGGGAACTGGTTAGAATTTATTAATATTTTGGAGCAATATATAATTAATACATTTGTCAAAAATGATATAATGATCCAATCTTTCTAAAACATTTAGTCTTTCCAACAATTTTTTCAAATATAATTTAATTGTGAAGCATATTAATTAAAATTAAAGTGAAGAATTTCAATATATCAAATCGACGAAAAAAGTGCTGCTGAGATTTAAAACCTTCAATTTTTTTTCCGATATAATTTACTTCCTTTTTAAGAAATTAAATTCGCCTAAATCAAGAATGTTTTAGAAAACTAATTTTGATAAATTTAATCAAAAATTATTTTATTTAATGAACTGTATTTTCAATTAATTTTAATTATATTTATATAAAATTTAATTTTTTATTGATTTTATTCAATAGTTTATTTTATAAAATCAATGCCACAAAAGCGTGATTTTACTAAAAAGTAATATTTATTGAAAAAATGACCTATAACGTGATTTTACTAAAAACTTCTATAATTGTTATTTATATACTTAAAAGAAAATTGATGAGTATAAAGTCACCATAAGAAAATGATAATAATTTTCATTAAAATATACATCATAGATACATAAAAAATAAAGTTTATAATGTGAGGGAGATTACATTCATGCCTCTGTTTAAAGGGCGGGGAACAATGCGGGATATTTTAGAGTTACATTCCAAATTTTGTTTAGTTTGGTGACTTTAGGCTAGGTCAATTTTTTACAATCCTCATCTACTGACAGTTGTTTGTTAAGCTGAAGCCCGATCCCGCTCCTGCCTCCCTGTTCCCTATCGCGGGAAGTCGCGACCTTCCTCACGAACTGTTCCCGCGATCTGCCATTCGCGAATCGTCTTGAACGTCCTGCCTAACGTTTGCGTCTCTCGCTACTCCTTAGCCGTTTGATGATAAAAGGCTTCGGACGGCTCTCCTTTAGTTTTAGAAGTCACGTTTTGTGTTCTTCTTCGGGCTTCCTTGGGATAGAGGAATAGAAGTGCAAGATGTAATTCCTTGTGGTGAAGGAAGAAGAAAGAAAAAGAAGAAGATTGTTCTCCCTTGGCTTCTTAGTGGATTGTGGCAGAAGAAAAATTTAGTTTATTTCTCTTGTAAGTTTGTCTTCTTCGGTGTACCTCGGTATAGAGTTTCTTCAGTGTATCTTGGTGTAGAGAGAGAACAAAAGAGAGAGAAGAAGAGAGAGCAACGGAGTGAGAGATTCCTCTCATAAGTTGAGACGATCAACTGATGTAAATTCTTAAAGTAGTAAAATCTCTTGCAATTCCGTGGACGTAGACAATTTGACGACCCACGTAAATTTATGCGTTCCGCTGTTGGTATGTAACTCACAATACTGCTGAGATTAACGGAGGAGAAAAAATAATAATAATAAGACTGCTGTATCACAACAGCTGTTCGTATGCGCGTAATCCGCAAGTAAAAATTTCTCTTAGGCTAGGGGTTAAAATTGCATCTGAAAACAAAAGACTTATTTGTTTTAGGTAAAATATAATATGTTGTCATATCTAATATCTTGATATTATTTTGTTACATCTGTACCACTCAAATATTTTATATCACATCAAAAATATTATCATTTAAACTAAAAATAAGATATGCATATTTTAATGCATAAATAAGATGGTATGTATGTTAAAAATTAAATTTTTAAGTGGTAGATATGTAAATGCATAGCAATTGAGTGGTATCTCTGTAAATCTTCCATCCATATATCTATAAGGAATGTAAAGATCTGGAGTTACTAGTGGCACGTGCGAGCATGAATGCAGCAAAAATAAGTGGAATTAAAATTTGTTAAAAAATAATACCCTCAAATTATCGATTATAACTTTATAATAAACCCATAAATTATTTAATTATTATTTTATTTTCTTAATTTTTCTTCTATTCATATTGCGAATTAAAATCCTTCATTCGCAGACTCAAAGAAGCCTCTTACAGAAACTATTAAAGACTGATTATCTAGATATAATATTTAATATTTTTTTGTAAGATTCAGAGATTATCATATCAAATCATAAATATAATTTATATAGATTTAGGATTTTAAAATAAATTTTTAATGCATTGTTAACTTCTATAGATATCAAGGGATATGGAGCCAATGCTTCCTTTGTCTTGATAGGCGTGGCTCCGTTTCAAACATGAATATGCATATAAAAAATATATATAAATATATTCAAACTAGCCGGGGAGAGAATTATATATATATATATATATATATATATATATATTTATATTTATATTTAAATGTATTTATGAAACAGACAACGCTAACAATGCGACCAATTCAACAAAGTCAACAACTCAAAATTCAAACTACGGTTTCCCAACTACCCTAAACCATTGACCAGAACAAGTAAGATAGCTCACTGGAGTCCAAATTATTCATACGCCAAAATTAATATAAAAAGCTTTGGACGATTTACATAGATACCACTCAATTCTCATGTATTTACATGTCTTGCACTTTAACCATCTTAATTTTGAATCAACAAGTGTATTTCACTTTCTCTTTTCAAGTTAAAATGACGATGTTTTTTATGCGATATGAAGATTTGGGTGGTATAAATGTAAAATAAAAATAGAGGTATCGGATATGTAAAATGTAAATACATAGGTATTGGGTGGTATGTATGTAAATGTCCGAAAGTATTTTTAAAAGTACGAAATTCAACAGAGAAAATTGAGGGAGAAAAGCCAATCGCTTGTTCAATGCGCATGTTCTTAGTTTAATGTAGAAGATGACAGATTTTCATATTTAATAATAGAGTTACCCCTTCTGTTTTTGTAATCCGAAATAATATTTTATGTGGGGAGACCAAGTAGTGCATTCACAAGGAAGATCTCTGCCAATAGTTAAATTATGAATTTTATCTGCCATGTTAGACATGTAAATGTCTTAGATAGGTTCATGCAAT